TGTTTAGCTTGCTCGATATTGGATTCGGCTTGTTCGAGGTAATTAACATCTCTAATCTTGAAGTTGAGGGTATGAACCCTGATTATACGTGTTATGTGAATTATTTGGAGGTGACGCACATGCTAGGTAACAGGAGTGTGGGCGTGCACCGTAGAAATTGAGACTCAGTTGATTCTGTAGAGTTGTTTAGTCAATTAACTTGCATTCTTCCATGTATTTTTATGTGTTAGAGAAACGGAGCTGTGACTCATGTTAGAAATCAAGCTTAGGCAAATGTTGGTATTATTGGGACCCATAGAGGTCATTTCTACTGTTGAATTATATGTTTAAACTGTAATTTCATACTCAGTCATATTCATTCATTGCATATCATATCTCAGTGTCTGCTGTTATTTATTGATACATCATATCATCATTTTGGGCTAGTTTTATGACATTGTGAGCCCAAGATACTGGAGAGATTGATGACTGAGTGAGGACGAGGGCCTGATTGTGAGGATAATTATGGGATGGGGTTGCACGTCGTAGCAAGCCAAATTGGCTTATTATAGCACGCGAGTTGTCTGTGCAGCACGTGAGTTGTCCGTGCGGGTCCATATATTGATACTATAGCAAGTGAGTTGTCTATACAACACATGAGTTGTCCGTGCAGATTATAGCGCTTGGGCTCGAGGAGCCCCTCTAGAGTCTGTACACACCCCCAGTGAGCGCAGGTACCTACTCAGTGCGAGTGTCGAGTGGCGAGTGATTGGGAGGATTGAGTGACTGTGAGGACTGAGTGACCGGGAGGACTGGGTGAATTAATACTCTGAGAGTATGCATATGGTTTTGTTACTGAGTTGCATCGTATTGACATGCACACTTGACATACATGCATAAAGATGCATTTTTCCTCATGCTGTATGATATTGCGTCATTCATGACTTTACATACTCATTGACATGTAGGCATAGAGATGTATTTTCCTCATGCCATTTGAAAATGAAATATCCTATCAGTTGTTGAAACGTTTTTGGGAAAATTAACAATTTTACAAAATGTACTCATATTTTTGTGATTTCGGTAAAAGATTTGGGTCTTCACTAATATATTTGAAAAGCAGGCCTATTTTTCTGGAACTGTGAACGAGCTGAGCATTTTATCTCTGAGCTACTTCTTTTATTACTTCTATTATATTGTTATGAACTATTGTTGGCTATTGGTGTTGGACCCTGACCTTTGTTCCAGGTCTTCACTACTTTTAACCTAAGGTTAGGTTTGTTACTTATTGTGTACATGGGGTCGGTTGTCCTCATACTATACTTCTGCACCTTGCGTACAAATATTGGATGCTGATGTTACTGTGATCGACGGGAGCTGGATTTGAAGGTGTACATGTGTTTCGGACATAGCTGCATCTTGTTCATGATAGCCTTAGATTTATAAAAATCTGTTTATGTACATTTCGAACAGATGATGTATTTATTTCATACCAGCTTGTAAATTCTAATCTTAGAAGCTCATGATTTTTATTACCAGTCCTTGGGGAGTGTATTAGAGTCAGCTAAATATTAATTGAATCGGATTATTGTTATTTGGCTTACCTAGCGGGTGAGGTTAGGCGCCATCACGGCTAGTTGGATTTTGGGTCGTGACAAGTTTATATCAAAGCCCTAGGTTCATATGTTCTACAAGTCATGAGCAAGTGTCTCGTAGAGTCTTGCGGATCGGTATGATGATGTCCATACTTATCTTCGAGAGGCTACATGGCATTTAGGATAATTTCCCATCTTTCTTTCCTTATCGTGCGGAATTGATTTAGCTTAAAACATAACTCCTTGAATTCTTTCCACGCATTCATGTGTGCATGTGAGCACTCGGTATCAGTTGTGCATCGCCGACTTGTGATTTTAGGGATGATGTGCGAGATGTGTATTCTATATTTTGGTGATAAGCCAGTTTGGATGACTTGAGGCTAGGTTTAGACCGCAGCGTAGACTCAGATGTTTCGGTTGTGAGAACTTGTACATTTGGACCCATATGTCCGGTAATGTCTTCACGAGTGGAATTTATGGCTCGATAAGGGATTGAATGGCTATATGATAAGTATGATGTGACTGCGGGATATGTTCAGATGGGTTGAATGTGACGAATAAAGTTTACTTGTGGCTAAAGAGTTTGCTATTGGGTACTTGATTTCTATCTTGATTTGACGTATAGTCTTGAGTTGTGAGTGTATTGAAGGATCTTTCACGTTGTTAAATTGTGGGACAAATTAAATTCTCATGTCTTATCAATGAGTTTGGACTGAAGAAGGTTAAGTGATTACATAGTAGTTGTGGCTGTAAAAGGGTATAGAAAGATGCCTGTTTGAGGCCAAGCAGGTAGGTTATCACCTGCGGGGTAATTTACGGATGTGTGATCCTTATAATATTGAGTCGAGAGTTTTTTTCTACTAGCGGAGTGTATGTGATGAGATTTGAATTTAAATATGGGTGAGAAAGTTGACTTGAGTGTAAAGAGAATAAATGCAATCTTAGTGGATGAATGAGGTATTTTATGGTTGGTGTTGCCTGAGCTTGAAAAGAATTTTTGTTGAACTAACTACATTATTATGGCAGTAATAGAGTATGAGTATTATGAGCTATCGAGTGTTTTAATCTATGGCTTTGAGCCAAGTGGGGGAGCCTGCTATTGACAATTCAATTTCATCGTTATATGTTAAATTTTAGTTTTGGTCTGAGACATACTTGTGGATTAGTCATGACTTGCAGAGGTTGAGATTGAGGATGACTTGAGTAAGGAAAATTTTGGGTTACACTGCACTTTATGAAAATATGAAAATCATAGAATGATTAAGTTGTTATTTTGAAGAATGTAGTGCACACGAATTATGAATTTTATTGATGGTGTTAAGACATGATTACTTCTTTGGGTGTTGTTGTGATAATGGGGCATGTGTATTTCGGCCCGTTTGGGCGGTGCAATTTGGATTTGAACAAATTGTGTGACTCTCGAGAAAGTTCCAATGGGTTCGAGGTTTATATATAAAAATTGAGAATTTCTCCGGACATGTGTATGGATAAAATCTGAGATTTGCATTTGATGGTTCCTGGACTTGCGGTAATTCTGTATGACTATGGTTTCTACATTCCAGTATAATAAAGGTAAAAGAACAATTTTAAATTCACATAAGATACTTTGAAAGTGGGCATTTCGGTTGTGGTACTTATGAGGTGCTTAAGAGGAATGCAGTTGCTTATGGGCCTTAGGGCGGTGTCGTTTCATGTTAGGAGGTCTTGTAGTGAGCTTTGGGTAATGATCGTAGTGTTCTGACAAGGAAAAGTGTCAACTTAAGGGTAATTCAGAAGAAACTCGGAGAAAGTAGGACGACTGGTAGTAGGCTGGACCAGTATGGTAATGGTATGATCGGTTCTTTGGGTACCTATGATGTGGTGAGATTTTACAGATGTTTTTATGGCGTTTGGCAACTTGCGTGACTTGGTTGAAATAGAGAGATTTAGTTCTGATGGCCTGGTTATGTGAAAATGGGTTTCGAAGAGTTCTCGATGATTTCTATCACGGTTCGAGGTGGATATTTCCTACTGGCGTGAGGAACATGTTGCGTATTGGGATTTTCTTCTGGATGAGATCAAACCGAAGGTTCCTGGCTAATTGAGTATGTAGTTTGCTAGTGATCAGAGTTAATTATGAGATTCTTGTACCTTTTCATATGATGGGATGATAGATACAGTGTGTTGTGTAGGATTGAGATTTGCATGTGCAAAGTTACGATTCAGTTTTGAAGGGAAGGTCATGAATTCTTAGACAACATGGATTGTTTCAGATGTCTAGATAAATGCTATTACTACTTGGTATTGCCTAAGAGGGGTGCACATTTCAGAAGGCGTATTGTGTTTTGACTTATGGATTCTTCATTGGTATTGCGATGCTCGCCTAGTTAATCGACTGTTGATATTCAGATTTTGCTATGTGGCACCGAAGAATTAGAGAAGTATTCCTAGTGGGATGATCGTGTATGAGAGATGTGTTAGACATTCGGGCGGTGGAGTTGGGATCAGATATGGTAATTTGTGTGTTATACTTCTACAATTTTCCTTAAATAGTATGGATCAGCCGAAGAAAATATTATAGTGTCGTCTGCGTAGGCCAAATGATTCAACGGATCCATCCATTTAGGCATCTTAAATCCCTTATACCTCGTGTCTTCAAATAGTTTATTTAATGACCTAGACAGTACTTCTAAAGAGAGTATGAACAGGGCTGAAGAGAGAGGATCCCCTTGCTTGATCCCTCTTGTTGAGTGAAAGAATCCTGAGGCTTGACCATTAATCAGAATAGAATACCACTTGTTGGAAATTAAATCCCATATCATGTTGATGAAGAATTCTGCAAATCCCATTTTCCTCAAGAACATGTATTAAATACTTCCATGAGACCCTATGATATGCCTTTGCCATGTCAAGTTTGATAACTACATTAGCAGATTTTCATCTTAATCTTATGTCAGTAACAATCTCCTGTGTTAATAGAATGTATTCAAATATACTTCCCCCCTTGACAAATCCTGACTGATTGGAAGAGATCAGAGAAGGCAGTATTTTTTCCAACCTATCATGAACAACTCTGGAGATAACTTTATTTATAAAATTGCTTAATCTAATAGGCCTTAGGTCATTAAATGTTTGAACTTGTTATTTTTTTGGTAGCAAGACATGGTTTGTGTGAGTTATAGACTTAGGTAAGGAACTTCCTCCATAAAATAGTTTCAGCATCTCACGTATGTCTTACCCTATTATATCCCAACATTCTTGAAAGAAAATGCATATGAAACCATCTGGCCCACTTGCACTTTCACCACTCAGTGCAAAAACCGCTGCCTTTACCTCCTCTATTGTAGGAATTCTATAAAGTTCTATATTTTGATCACAAGACACCATTGAGGGCACATTGTTGAGGAGCTCAGAACTTGTATGATCAGCTTCATGGGTGAACTGTTTCTAGAAAAATTCAACTGTTGCGTCAGCCGTCAGTTCGTGCGACTCAATCCAATTACCATCATGGTTCTGGATCCTCTTCAATTGGAGTTTTTGCCTTTTACCATTGATATGGTTATGAAAGAAACTAGTGTTTCTGTCTCCTTCTGCAAACCAAGGCATACCTGCTTTTTGTTTCCAATATTGTTCCTCTATGCTCAGATATCTCTTTAATTCGGATTGTGCCTTCTGAAGTACAATTCTATTCTCAACTCTAGGTTCTTCTTCAAAAAGCATTTCCTTTATTCTGACCATATCTTCCCTTAAAGCTAGTTGCTTGAAGATGTCCCTGTAAGTGAGCCTACTCCATTTTCAAAGAGCAATCTTAACTCTTTTTAATTTCTATTTGAACATCCAGATCTGTGAAGTCAGCTTGCCAATTTTGTCAAACCACCTCCCTAAAAGTGGCATGTTTTGTCCAGAAATTCAAAAACTTAAATGGTTTAGTAAATGTGGTTGTCGTGTCACCACAGGTCATAAACAGTGGTGCATGATCCGAGCCTGTTCTAACAAGATATTCGACCTCTGTAGTTAGGAATAGAGATTGGAATGGGGAATTAACAAAGATTCTGTCCAGTCTTTTAAATATGCATTCTGCATTTGGCCTCCCATTCCACCATGTGAAGGGACTTCCTTTGTAACCAGTGTCAAAGAGTTCACATGAGTTTACACAGAAGGCAAAGTCTTCATATTCTGGAGGATAGACTGGAAGCCCTCCAATTTTCTCTTCTTCATTCAAAAGCACATTAAAATCCCCTCCAACTAGCCATGGTAGTTCCATGTCACTTGCAAGGTAGTATAAACTGTCCCATAATTCTAATATGTCAAGTGATGAGCACTTAGCATATACGAAAGTCATCATGATATATTTACCAATATCTTGATGATAGACTCTGATAGTAAGTTGTTGTTCCGTGTCAATTAATAAGTCCCACTGCACGACTGAATCCAGAAAAATCCATATCTTGCCATTGACATTTGAAATGGCAGCATCCATGCCTAGTCTCCTCCTATAGTTTTGAATAAATCTTTGATTTTGAAAAGGTTCCATAAATGCTATAACAAAAAAAACCATGTTCCTTTTACACGTTGATAACTCTCTGAAAGGCATGCTGTGTCTTAACAGACCTAATATTCCATATGTGTGTTTTAATTATCATCTAGTTGTGGAGGCTACCCTTTTGGGCAGTATTCTTGTATGTGGCAGCTGTTCCTTTAATTGGTTTTGCTTCTTTCCTTTCTTCCCATTTTTAGTAGACAACCTAGGTGACAAATCTCCTTCTCTTGCAACAGCCTTGAAGTTCCCAACAATAGATTCATTGTCACCTTCATCTTTTAGTTTCTCTTTATTGACCAAGGGAATATGAAGTTCCATTGGCTGTTGGTTATGTGTAATAATGTCATGCATTACCTGATTTGGAGATTTCAATAGTACAATTACTTGTATCTGTATTGGAGATCCTGTATCTGATGTACAAGCCATAGCCAGTGCGTTAATTGCAGTTGACTCCTTTGGTACAGTAGTTGTACCATTATGTTCATATACAACGATAGCATCCTTCCTAACCATATCTTGGGGTTCTGGAGCATCATCACTGACTTTGTCATTTGGTATGGTTGCCACTATTGGTCCTTGAATAGTGGCGAGAAGTTTTCCAGTTATGTTGCTACTCAAAGCATTGTTGGGTAACACATTGTGAAGCTGTTCTGGAATTGGCTTTTCCTTATGGTCATCAACTCTGGGTATTGTTTGTTTCCCTGTTCCATAACTTTTTAGTTCGGTCCCTAGTTGTACAGATCCTGTTCTATTGCCATTAGGCATAGGAGATTCCATACATGTCTGTGAGGGAATATCCTGACTTGAATGGTTGAGTGTAACATTAAGGACTTCCTTGTTCATTCCAAAACTCCTTTGAACTCATTCAATAGTATTTTCCTTTGTCACAGCTGGTGATACCCCAGCAATTGTAGCGGTATTGTTTGTACTAATTCCTGGATCTTTTGGATTGTCACTGGATTTGTCAGCAGTCCTGATATGTTGGTTCTCTTGAGTTATGTTTGTTTCCACTGTTTCATGCTTGTGCTATTTTTCGTTTATCTGGTCCCTGCCATTGTTATCTCCATCAGTTGCAGTATCAATACCAGTAGTCCTGGCACTTGATTCTGCCATATTCTCCAGAGCACTTGCCGTGTCAGTTTGTGGATTGGTCTGTGAACCATGGTTTTGAGTTTTTGTGGTTATATGTTTTGCATTCATTTATTCATAAGGCTATTTGTGTTTCTCTTGCTTGTTTTTTTGGTTGATACCCTTGAAGTTCTTCTTCTTCTGAGATTGCCATTGATCCTTGAAGTGGTTTGCATTTATTGGTTGTTGTGCTGTAGGTTTGATTTTGCCCTGTTGTTATTCATTTTGGTATTGTACCACTACTTTTTTGTTATAGTTTTGTTCTTTATGCTGTCCTGGTATGATCTGCTCCTTTTGATGTTGTATTCTATTTGCTCTTTCAGTATTGTTTGATATCTGTTTGGTTTGAGTTTGTGGGGTTTCAGCAGCTGCTTTTTTCTTGTCTTCTTCTTCTTCTTCTTCTCTTTCTCGAATAGGGCATAGGTAGTCTCCATGTCCTAAGTGCTTGCAATGTGAGCAATATGTTGGGAGATCCTCATATACCACTTCTAGACACTGTCCATCCCCGTTAACATCCTGATCTTCATCAAAGCCTAGCCAAACATGATGAAGCCTGAATTGAGTCAAGTCAACCTGCATTTTGACTTTAGCTACACTCCCTCTTGTTTTCTACATAGAGGGTAGGTCGAGATGCAATACCTTACCAATAGGAGATAAGAATACAGATAGGACCTCCATGTAGTAGAAATGCCATGGTAGTTCAGGAATGACTATCCAAACAGGAACAATTGGGTTATCCTCATTCGGGTTGAAGTTAGGTGTCCAAGCTTGTAATTCCATTCTTTGACCTTGTATGTACATGAAGGTTTTTGTCTAGACAATTGTGTAATCGTATTCATTGTCTAGATCAATATAGACTGTGTGAGCATTGAAATGGGCTATTTTAACTCCTCCTCTTAGTTCTGTTTGTGCTATGAAGCTTCTCCTGATCACCTCCATTCGAGGCATTGTATTAGGGAATTTCCCTACAATTGTATATTGGCATCTGGATGCAATTGTGATCATGTAGTCCTTCCTAGTAAATATGACAGCCGGTTGGCCCTGTTTGGAAGTTATTTTTGGGGGTGTGAACTCTATTGGGTCTATTTCTGCTGCATGCCTTGCTCTTAATTTTGTAGCAAGTGAATGAGTTATGGTAGAAGGTGATGGGCATGATAGTTAGTTGGTTTAGGTGGCTGGGCAGTAGATTCTATTTGGTTTAGTTTGGTTGCTGAATTTGTTGAGTAAAACTGGGTACTTTGGTGGACATTTGCAGATGGTTGTACGAAATGTGTGTGCTTTGGTATATAAAAACTGGTTAAGATGCTTGTATGTGTGTTTGCAGCAGATGTACTGAGTGTTTGACTATGGTGTTTGGTATGTTTTTTTTTTGGTGTTAACATCTGAGCGTTAGTGTGATGATGCTTAGTCTTAGTATTATTTTTATTCTGGAAAGTAGGTGCTTTGTCAAAGTTGGTGGAGATCTTAGGAAAATTTGCTGGCATTGATATTTGATTGAGTTGGGGATTAGTTTGAGCATTGACATTCCTAGGTAAATCAGTATTTGTTGTATTAGACACATGTGTTGCAGAAATATTACCCGACGATGCCAAATTTGCTGTTGTAGTGATTGGCTGCACTTGAGTAGTAGGAGTGGTTGCGATTTCCTTTTCCTTATCAATAGAGATTATCTCGACAGGTGAAACACAATGAATTCCATGGGCAGTCAGTGAGACACTCAAGTTTTCTGCCAGTGGTCGAGTATCAATGATATCAATTGGAGTTTGAGATTGGACTTGCGGGTGACCTTCAGCAACATGTGGATAATGTTTTCTTTCCAGTTGAGTTTCAACTGGGTTTGGCCAGTTAAAAAACCAGGAACTTCATGGGCGTCATGTGGCGTTGTAGGTGACTGCCTTTTATCACCCTCATTTTTTGTGTTTTCTTGCAACTTCTCTTGACGACTAATCTCAACATGACTTTGTGAAGCAAAATAATTCATATATTCATCAACATTAACACTAAAACTGACCCTGGCATTTCGTCAAACAGATGGTATGTGTGATTCTGTGTGTACTGTATTTTGCCATGTTGGATCAAGTTGTTCATCGTGGTTGTTGTTTGAAGAGTTGGGATCAGTATCCAGATTAATTGGAGTATAGTGGCATTGGTTTTGACCATTTTGGATATTTGTCACTCTAAGTGCAATCAACAGCTGATTGTTGTCGTTGTACATCGGTGTAGCATCGTTGTTTAGTATGTTGATGTTGTCTGAAACTATTTGTATCAATTCTAATTAAGGTGTTGAGTAATTTCCATGGCTTTGAATCAACTTATTTGGTTCAGAAATAGTGCAGTACGTTGCAGCTGTCTCCAATTGGTTTTTGGCATGTTAACAGTTTCGCCATTGTTGACAGTTGCAGCAGATGGGGAAGAATCAGTGAGAGCGCCCATATGGGGTTTGTGCGCAGAGTTGTTATGCGACTGTTGGATATGGTCCGGTGGCTTTTCACCACCGGACGATGGCACAACGACCATTTTTATGTGTGGTGTTACTGTTGTTGTTTGTCGCCTCTCTAGAGAGAATTAGGGCTCCGCTCGTTTTTAACATTTAATTGGTGAATTATGTTGGAAAATTTAGAAAACCCTTTTAGCTTAATTTGAGGGTCAAGTTGATATCGGAATTTGGTAAAATTGGTATGGCTGGACTCGTGGTTGAATGGGCGTTCATATTTTATAACTTTTATCGGGTTCCGAGACGTGGGCCCCACATGCAATTTTTGAGTGTAATTTCAGATTTTTGGAAAATTTAGTATTTTGATATGGAATTAAATCATATAATTTGTGTTGACTGAATCGAATTAATTATGACTAGATTCGAACCGTTCGGAAGTTGATACGCGCATAATGGAATTTCTGGAGCATTGTTTAGCTTGCTCGACATTGGATTCGGCTTGTTCGAGATAAGTAACATCTCTTATCTTGGAGCTGAGGATATGAACCCTGATTATACGTGTTATGTGAATTGTTTGGAGGTGACGCACATACTAGATGACAGGCGTGTAGGCGTGCACTGTAGAAATTGAAATTCAGTTGATTTTGTAGAGCTGTTTAGTCAATTAACTTGTATTCTTCCATGTATTTTTATGTGTTAGAGAAACTGAGTTGTAACTCATGTTAGAAATCATGCTTAGGCAAATATTAGTATTGTTGGGACCCACTGAGGTCATTTCTACCGCTGAATTATATGTTTAAACTGTAATTTCATACTCAGTCATACTCATTCATTGCGTATCATATCTCAGTCTCTGATGTTATTTATTGATACATCATATCATCATTTTGGGCTAGTTTTATGACATTGTGAGCCCGAGAGACTGGTGAGATTGATGACTGAGTGAGGCTGAGGGCCTGATTGTGAGGATAATTATGGGATCGGTCTGCACGCCGTAGCAGGCCAGATTGGTTTATTATAGCACGTAAGTTGTCCGAGCAGCACGTGAGTTGTCTGTGCGTATCCAGATATTATTATAGCACGTGAGTTGTCCGTGCAGATTATTGTGCTTGGGCTGAAGGACCCCCAGTGAGCGCAGGTAGCAACTGAGTGCGAGTGTCGAGTGCCGAGCGATTGGGAGGATTGAGTGAATGTGAGGACTAAGTGACTGTGGGGACTGAGTGACCGGGAGGACTGAGTGAATTGATACTCTGAGAGTATGCATATGTTTTTGTTACTGAGTTGCATCACATTGACATGTATACTTGACATACAAGCATAAAGATGCATTTTTCCTCATGTTGTACGATATTGTGTCATTCGTGACTTCACACACTCA